GATAAGCGAAATACTGCGCGGCCGCCCCCGGTTGACTTTTTAATCAACGCGTTTCGACTTTTAATAATATACTGCAAACAACCCTTCGCCTCTGAGTCGAACGATTCACTACTACCTAACCACGAACCAATAAACAAAAAAAAAAAACGTTCAATTCCCCCCCCTATTCCTAAAAAAAAAAAAAAAAAAAACACCGCCTATTATTATTTATCGTTTGTCGAAAATAATTTTAAATAAAAAATGATTTCAATATTTTCGGAAAAGAAAACAATTCCATAAATTGTTTTACCGACAACGCTCGTCTCGAGCGACAACGAGATATTACCTATAATAATAATATATGTACAGTATATACAATATATGGTGTTTTATTATCGGGGGTGTACAAATGCTTCGGTGTATAGCTATTGTAATAGGTAATATATATATATATATACACAATATACATTCATAATACATAATACATATACAGGTGTAACAGAACTATTTGCCATTTTTACATTGTAATTACATGTAAAAATGTGAAACAGTCCAGTTACACCCTGTATATGACGACGGTGCCAATAGCTTTGTGGCGTTTATGATGCGATGTCAAAAAGACAATATTTATTCTGTCGGGCAAATAATAATAATAATTCGCGTGCATATATGAACTACTCTGTATATATATATATTTAATACACGCACACACGCACACACACACACACACACACATACAAACATAGTAGAGCACACTCTAAATATTGACGGGAAAACATTGAACGTTGACACAATAATATTATATATGGAATTCGCGGTTTCTTAGTGGCAAAAGCGTAAATAGTGAAAATTTTAAAAGTTTATTGGAGTATATATTTATGGTATAAAACATCGTGCACAAAAAATAATAACAAAGAAAACGGTAAAGCCGAGGCCTGCCATAAATATTTGCCGTTTTACCTGTAATTTTGTTTCGGGTTTTTCTAATTATTTTGAAAACCCCTTGTATAACCAAAAAAATTATCTCTTTAATACATCGACTAGATAAAATTATTTTTCCGAAAAAAAAAGCACACATCATAATAAATTGAATAGTTGCACGCTGCACTCCGAATCTAAAAAAATGTATACATAATAATTAATTTAATTTAATTTAACTGTTGCTAATGACTCAATTATAATTTGAAGTAAGTTAATATTTAAATCGTGAACAAATAAAAAAATAAGTAAAACTTTTAAAAATTGGTTACGCCTATTATTATATTACGAGTACGACGAACTACTATATCTACATAAATTTTAGCTACACCGCGTACTTAAAACCGATTTCAAATGCAACAGGAACTCCTCTATTGATCACGTACGATAATGTGAAAAGGTAATTAAATTTGAAAGTGCTACTTTTACTAGATTTTTCATATTTAATAATACGAGTATATAAATAATATATATTTTTAGATTCTGAGTGAAGCGAAGAATGTATTGGTTGTAAGATAAGACTTGAAATTTGGAAAAAAAATTTATATTTACCTTTTCTAGATGTGGTAAAATTTTCTAAAAATTCAAGCCAATTTTAATTTTAGGCAAATAGGCATTAGTTTTGTACGTAATTTTTATTCGTTTTATTTGTATAGTTCGAAAAAAAAAATTGAATTTAAGGTATTATTTTTTATAAGGGAATTTTTATATCAAATTTTGACGAAAATCGTTTGAGTAAAAAATTATGTGAAACAAATCTAATTTTTAAATTTTTTTTTCTGATCAAATGTACATTGCCGATTTAAAAACGAAGTCTGAATTAAGAGACTAACTAAATTTCAAAATCATAGCTTTTTGAAGTTTTAGTATTTTGCGGATATTATATGTTATGTTAAATATGTCTATATTATCCTTCTAAAAGCATATTTGTCGTGATCTAATGGTTATTCATGCCTATTATTATCCTAGGAGATCCAATTTCAAACCAGTGTTTCAAAAAATATTGTTTGCATTTTTTTCCCTTTTACCTAAAACAAGAAAAAACAAATGCACATTGGATATACCTAGAGACCCAAGCCATCGCCCTTGGACAATTTCAATCGCATTATACCCCTCAATTTGTTGGGAAAACTTTTTACTAGAAATCTTGCTTCGATGTAACAAATGTTGCTTATTTTTTAAAAGGAAATTTTATCTTCATGTTAATTTAAAGAGTTCATTTTTTGGTTTTTCAAACGTTTTTCATAATAACTGTGAAAAACTGGGATAAAATTTCAGGAAAAACGGAAAATGTGTAAAATGTAGGTATATGTAGGTATTAGTAAAAAAATATTCTGGCCTTTTTTTTCTGTGTACAACTTTTCTACAGCAAATTTTGTTCCGATTTTAAATGATAGAACTTTTTCTAAAAGGAAATCTGGCTGAAAAGGTACTTTAAAGAAGTTATTTTTCAACTTTTCCAATAGTTTTCTAAGCAAATGTGATAAACCGAGAAAAAACATGGGAAATCTGGAAAATCGGTACAGTATTAAACAAATATTGTTAAAGAAAATATATAATGCCTATTTAATTATTTTACCTTAATATGACTTATATATTGTTTACAAAGCATCACTATCAACTCTGCTTAGAATCGTTTTTTCGTTGGCTACGGTTATAGATACACATTTAATTACCCATAATAGGTTAGGATGCATCAGTCTTCTTTATCCTAGGACGTAGTTTTAAAAGAAACGCATTTTAATTATATTTTATCCAAAAGAAATGATACTGATGACGGGAGTGGCACTGTTGTAGACAGAATTTTAGGAAAGTGAGATGTACACAATTTTTTACTTAGATCAAAGAAAAAAAAACTCCTCACTAGAAGGTTTTTCGCTCCAGTAGTCAAAAGTTATGTATACCTACGCCATTGATTGATATTATCGTTTCCACTCGTTTAATATCATATAATATTATATTTTGAAACTGCCGTATTTAAAATATCAACAGCTTCTAAACATTTAGTTCCGAACGATACATACATTTTTTCTTTCGATCACTTTACAGAACGGAAACTCTGTTAAACACAGATAAGTTAAATGTAATGGAAATCGGGTCGGTTTATTGCTTAGCTTATTATATTTTTATTATAATTCTCGGTGTTGTGCAAAGGTACATTTAAAAATATCTAGAAAAAACTAAATTAAGTAACACCGAAATGAGTGCTAAGAGTGCTATATATTAATTATGAAACACATCTAAATGTTCAAAAGTATTCATGTGAATTAATAAACCATATTAAGATAAATAATATTTTATTTACTATTTCTAATATATATTATATTAATACGATTTAAAATAAATTATCGAGATGGGTTAGTTATTTTTATTTCAGATACCTTATTTCCCATTGATCTTGAGAAAATAACAGATAACATATACTTACGCCTAGATAATTTATCTAGATAAAATACAATTTGCTTTTTTGTTCTGGACAATATTCAGATTTTCACGGAAATCAAAAATGTATCGTGTCGCGTAGTTTTTCAAATTTATTACGTACATGCAATACTAATTATATGTATTTATCAAAAATTATTACTTATTAAATACTACGTTTATTCTTAAACTTAAATCAGAATTTATAATCTATCTTCGTCTTAGAAACGTAAACTAAAACTTAAAACATGGTTGTAAATTTGTTTAAATCATTGTTTCTATAATAATAATTTTTTTTTATCATTTACATTACGAAATTCTACGATAAACGCATTAGGTTTTGCAACGTGTCGTTAAAATTTGTCCACTGTGCACACAATATGATTTCTTTTTTAAATTATGATTGAAAATCGTGTGGTGTTAATAATTTTTCAGCGAGTCCCGTATACTAAATTGTTGACGCCCCTCATATGTTGTGGTACATAAATCATTTTTCATAGAAATTCTCGCCCTCTGTGTTCGTGGGCATAATGGGGAATAATCCGCCCCATTGACGTGCACCTAATGTACAAATTGCCCGGGAGCATTATTATTAATATTATTATTATCCGGGGCACGAATATTCCGCGGGATCCGTTTTGGTATTTGTACCTGTGTGGGATGATGAAATAATTTATCCGAGAGAAATTTCAAATACGAAATTTTGAAACGAAAACATGGTTGATGTGGAGTTAAATATTTTCGTTTAAACGACCAGAGGACGGGCTTTTTTTCATAATACCATGAAATCCTATTCGATAGTTATAACGTCAATTTTCAAATGTAATTTTAAATTCTGCTTCAAACTTGATTCGCGTCTCACGATCTCGTCTCTATGTCGTTATAATATTTTTAATTGTTTCGATGACACGATAAAATAATAGAGCCAGTATATATATATATATTCTGTAAGTTCGAAGGAGTAAGATGTTTTACCCTCGTCATATTCATCAAAAATACCGCGAGGGAGCAGTGGGGAATTCAGACAGAAATTTAACTTGGTTTTGATTTTCTGACAAAAATGTTCGTTATTTGTCACATTTTGTAATCATTCGATTTTCTCAACTAAAGTAATAAAATGAATAACTACTCTAAGATATTTTTGTATGTTTGTGTATGTGTGAAAAGTGTGTCCCCTCACGAGTTTTTCACCTTAAGAAACACTTGCTGTGAGACCTCCCGGGGACGATATAATATTACGTGAAAAAGTGATTAATCGGTTCGATTTTTTTTTTTACTCACCGAACGGAGCTCTGCACTGCATAATGCAATACGGGTGTATCCCGACGCTTTTAGTATAATGTTTTGCGCCGTTCCCCCGGGACGCGTTGACGCCGCGTGTGTTTGAGTGCTTTTAAAATTCGTTTCAAACAAATAATTAAACACATTATGTATGGTAATACTCATATATACGTATAATAATCAATCCGTAACTTTTGGAAGTTTTTTTACGCGGTGAAAATCCTCAATAACATGTATGGAAACGGTATGTGAAAATAGTTTTTCTGATTTTATTATCACCTTGTATATAGTTACAACTATAGAGCTTGTGTGTACCATGACAAAATAGATAGGTATAATTGCAGTTTTTTGATATTATGCACACTCCACTCGAATATTTCTGCACTTTACCTATATTACCGTAGTTACTTCTCATTGGCTAATATTATACTATGGTAGAATGGAGAGCTACGACATATGCCGAGTTTGAGATCTGAACGACTGACACACTGCATGTGATTATGCCTAAGAGGTCAACTCTATTGATAATTACTGAATGTTTTTCAATAATTTTCGTTTTTTATTCACGGAGAAAATGATTATACCGTTATTATACCTACATGATAATGTTGGAATATTTTATCCAAATAATATTATATGATTGAGATAAAATTGATTATTTTTATGAAAAATCTAGTTATTTTGTTGAGAAGAACTTTGAACCGTTTATAATAGTTGGTATTAGAAATGGTGGATTTTGAAATTTTTCCTTGGAAGTAGGGATTTCTGATATTATTTTAGAATATATTAACAATATTTATCTACTAATCATATTTTATTAATTTAATTTTAATTAACTTCCACTAACAAAAAAACCCAATTATTTCTTTACTTACGTGACTGTAGGTATCTATATTTTACTTATTCTATTCAACAAAAAAAATTGTATTTACTTAAATTAAAAATCCTCATTTCGCTATTTTTACTCATCCGTCCCAAAATTCTAATCTAAACAGCTAATCAACGTTTCCAGAAAATCACGGTGGATTTTCCACACACAGATATTAATATAGGTATTAGGTATACAATATATACTATATAATTGTACTCGTATAAATCCTATAAAAACTAGAAATGAATCCGATTATTATTAAATATTACTTTAACAAGCAATTTGTAATAATTTTCCAAAAATGTTGTGTTTGTTTTTATTTCAATAAAAAACCGATTCACAGCCAAAACTCAAAACCTGGCGATCCAGACTTTCTACCCCCCCAAGCCTTACAACCACCATTAGTGATTAGTATACCATAGAACTTGTTCAATGTAAGATATACCTAATATGGTGGTTTTTGGATACATAACACTGATAACTAAATTAATCAGTGGTTAAAGTGGAAAAACCTTCAAAGTGGTACTATATTTACTGGAAATTGAGGGTCTTTTTGAAAACTAACAAAACTTAAACAAACTTTCAGGTATTCTTCTACTAGGTAACTAGGTATTCTTCTTTTTTTGTGCAAAAAACTATGTCGTTCGTTTATCTTAAGACAGTAATAGTTTGTCCTCCTATTCAAATACCTTTCTGTATTTCTGTTCTGTTTGGTTTTTGTGTATGTTATAGATAACTCTCCTTTCGTTGTATTTAATTCCTATTCCTTTAAGAATTTTAAATAATTCAATCCATTGTACTCTATCAAAAGTTTTCTTTGATCTATAAAGGCGATGGAGGTTTTCTTGTTCCATCTAATCCTTTTTTCTAGCATTGTTCTTAGTACTAAGGTCGCTTCTCTAGTTTCTACTTTTTCTTAATTGATCATCACCTAGGTTCACATCGATAATTTTTTATATTCTGTTTTTTATTACTCTAGTTAATATATTTGATGCATTGTACCCTTCTTGGAGATTGTTATTATATTCCCTTTACTGAAATCTTCGACTATTTTTCCATTTATATACATTTCGTTGCATATTTTTTTAAGTTCTTTATTTATACTTTCGCCAGCACTCTTTATAAGTTCTGCTGGGATTTTATCAATACCACACTCGTTTTTGTTCTTTAAATTTTAAATAGCGAATTCAATTTCTGATTGGAGAATATATTCTCCTATTCGTCATCTATATGATCTTCTAAAATGGTTTTGTTAAGCTGACCTGCATACAGTTCCTCTAGATAATCCTTCCGTATTTTTTATTTATCTGTTATTAGTATTTGACCCGTTTTACTTCTTAGAGCATTTCCATTTAATATTTTTATACTGAATAGTTTTCTCACAATTTCGTTAGCTAGATTGCTTTTTTCCTGTTTTCAGATAATCTTCCACTTTTGTAAAATGATCATTTAACCATTTTCCTTTGGCTTCTTTTGCTTTAATTTGTATGGAATTTCTGATACGTCTATAGGTCTGTTGACTTTATATACAACTTTGATTTTTAGGCTTTCTTTCCTTGTTTATTAATTCTACAATTTCTTTTGTAAGCCAGAGCTTCCTTGCTTCTTTCTCTTATGCTCTCATTACTTTCTCAGCAGTATTTTTCAGTAGTTGCTTAATATTCTTTCATATTTCTTCTATTGTGTTAGTACTCCATAGTTCTTTTGCAATCAAAAGTCTGCATTTATTTTCATATTCTTCTTTTGTTTCATCAGTTTTTAATTTCCGTGTGTTCTATCTCTTGGTGTTAGTTTTTTTTTTTTTGATGTTTTATATTTAAATTTAGATTCCATAGTAAAAAGGTTATGATCACTATTGATATCTACTCCAGGGTATATCTTACATTGTTTAATTTTATTTCTAAATCGTTTTTTTGTCATAATGTGATCAATTTGGTATCTTGTTATATATCCAGAAGCTTTCAAAGTATATCATCTTCGTTTGCAGTGCTTAAATAGAATGTTCGCTAGTACGAGCTTGCGTTACATACAAAATTGTATAAGTCTCTCACTTCTTTCATTTCTTTTTCTTAATCAATAGCTTCCTACTATATATCCATCATTCTGTTGTCCTACTGACGCATTCCAACTACCTAAACTAATGACATTTTCTGTAGCTATTGTCATACTTAGAAATTCATCTATTTTATCATATACTTCTTTGACTGCGTCGTCATCATGTTGTTGGCATATATACTTGGATAATCGTTATAATTGTTGAGCAGGTAACAACTACCATGACAATAAATAATATTATGTGTATTTACTATCACTCTTCAATGTTAACAGTTTATAGCACCTTTATGGTTTGAGAAGGTCAAAACAATTTTTGATGAAACAGTACAAATACACCATAATGTATAGTTGAGACAGTGGGACGTGAACATTTTATAGATTTTTGAAGAGTTATTGACGTGGATGGATTTGGAAAAGGAATAAATCTAAATTGTTACTTTATCTAGTACTCTGATCTATTAAAAAAAAAAAATCCAAGGAGTATGATTTTTTTACTCGTCGAGTAATGTGTATCCTTACAAAATATTTACCTCTCAAATTTTTGAGTTCGCTACGCCACTGTATACGGACGAATTTTTACCCAGTATAATAAAAACACGAATAAAATATGTTAGATATGATTTCCGAAGAATCATACGATACAATAAGTATAATATTTCGTCATTCGAAAAATAGTCCGAAAAAAATACAGTATAAAAAGTGACTTTATACCTAAAACGTTTTTTTTTTTTTTTTTTTACTGACAATATTCCTCATTTTACATATTATACTCAAAAATGATATGGTATTTTATCTACTGTTTCTAAAATTGAGTTTTATTGACGACCACTGTTCAATCATATTGCAATAATAATATACAGTATCACCTTCGTTCTCTGTGTTTTTTTATATTTTACATATATTTTTTAAATGTTTAACTGTAACCCTTTATACAGTTCATGTGGTAAAAGCATTTTCATTTCGAGAATCTGCGCTATTAATGTTTAAATTGTATTATCTAAAACCGGATAAGTATATATGTAGTATAATATTATAGTAAACGTGAGTATATAGGTTAGGTTTACGTGAAACTAATTTACTTTTATCGACCGTTTTCGTAAAGTGTATACCCATAGGGCTCATTTATTTAAAGCGAAGTACTCGGGCGTAGATATTTGTCGAGAAACTTAGACGCGCATTACTTGAAAAATTACATGTTTTGCGTAGGTAGCTATAATATAAATAGGTATTATTATGATTGTTGAAGGTAATAATTTAATAAATTTCATGATTAATATTTTGACTAATTTTTTTTTAAAAAAAGAAGAACAAAGCAAACCATCCAAGTGTTATACAGGGTTAACTCACGTAACTCGAAAAAAATTTACGTATAATTATCATAAATTTTTATTTTTTTAAATTTCCAATCGAGTTTGTTAAAAAAAAAATATAAATAATGATAATAATTATATCTTTTTAGTTTTGTTATTATAATTTTATAAGTTATAAATAGACATTTCGCAGTTAATTTTTACTCTATAAAGTTATTCCTCTTTTCCTTCCCACTACTAGATAACTAATACTTTGCACGTTAGAAAAATTCTAAATTACCTCTAAATTACCATGGAGAAAAAATTTAATTTTAGAAAATAGGTTACACTTGATACATCGGAGCAAGATTTCTGATAGTAAAGTTTGTACGGAAAATCGAGGGGTATTTTGCAAATAAAATAGTCCGAGGAAGCAATAGATTGGGTATATCCAGAATACATCTGTTTTTTCCTTGTTTAGGTAAAAGGGAAAAAAGTGCAAAACAAATTTTTTTTGGCACATTGGTTCGAACTTGGAGCCCCTAAAATGATAAAAGGTATAAATAACCATTAGATCACCACAAATATACTTTGGAATGATAATACAGAGTTCTTTAACAGAACATAATATCCGCATAAAATCATAAATTTAAAAAGCTATAATTCCGAAACCTAGTCAGTCTGCTTAATTCTGACTTCACCATCGTTCTTAAATCGGTGATATACATACATAGTATATTTGATAAAAAAAAAAAAAAATGAAAAAAAAGATTTCTTCTACAATATCCTTATAAAAAAAATACTTAACCTCCTGTTAAATTTTAAAACATTTCTATTCAAGTCTAACAATTTTACCATAAAGTACCTACCGAATAAAAATTACGTACAAAACTCTCAAAATTAAAATATTTTAAAAAGTTTAAAAATGGCTTAAATGTTTAGAAAATTGTAGGATGTCTAGAAAAAATATCAATTTTCTGTCTAAATCCCAAGTCTTTACGAATATTTTTAACTGAATTACAACAAATCACAAAACTGATAAAATAATAAAAGCATTAATTTCATACATTTCCCGTTTTTCCTACATTTTATTATAGTTTTTCCCAGATATTATAAAAACGGCTTGGAAAATCAAGAAATAGCCTCCCAAAAGTACTATCTGGACAAAATTTCCTTTCAGAAATGGTGCCATGCGTATATATTTTAGCAAGATTTCCAGTAAAGTGTTTGTACACAGGATTAAAAAATGAAAAAAAAAACATCTTAGTAATCTGAGTAAAACCAGTATATTCTTCGCTACACTCAGAATCTAAAACAAAAAAAAAAAAATGTTTTTGCTACAAACTCACAGCCACCACCAGTTAGGTACTCTACTCGTATTATGCTTTCGGCACTTATCCTAGCAGAAAAAAAAATATATACATGCCTATACATGAATGAATACTATCGAAGTATATGTATGTAATTTGTTTTGTTTGATTTATTTTATGGTCTGCAGACGAACAAAAAAAAACTAACCATTTTGTAGCGTATACCTATATTATATATTATTATTATAGACAATCCCTTGCAGTGTTTGTGTTTACACACGACTGTTCACTTGAAACTCGGACAAATATTTACACTAGGTTAGATGGAAGGAGTGGAGGGGCATGCAGGTGGATTATCGTTGTTGTTTATTATTATTTGCTAGGTTTACTATATTTTTATTTTATTATCATTTTTTTATCGTTATCATTATCATATCATTTATCATATTCCCTGTCCATAATATATAATCACTTAAGGCTTGAACTTCAGTACCTTTATTAAAATTAATTAATTTAAAGCTTAAAAGTTCTAAAAATATCTAAAGATTTCATTGAAAATGTATTTAATAATGATAATACCTAAATATAAATATACATTAAAAAAAAATAAATTCAATACAATGTAATTTAGTCAAGAAAATAAAAATACACGTTTGTTGAATAATACAGTTGAAAAAAAGACGTCTTAAGATATGGAAACGGGTGCAGCCACTGTTATAGGTAATTTAATGTATATCTATAAACAACGATAAACCATTGCCAACAAAAAAAAAAAAAAAACAATTCTGAGCGCAGTTCAGTTGATAGTGATGCTTTGTGGATAATATTTATGTCATATAATGGAAAAATAATTAAATAGAATTATATTAAATATATCTATTATATAGAAATATATTTTCTTTAATAATATTTATTTAATATTGTATCAATTTTCCCGTTTTTTTTTAGTTTTTCATATTTGTTGAGAAATCTCCTGGGAAATTGAAAAATTAACCCCCTAATATACCATCCCAATAAAATTTCCTTTAGGAATATGGTCTATATTGTATGCATCGGCGTATGCTTTCTGGTAGAAAAAGTGTTCACATAAAAATAAATAAATAAATACATATAAACATCTTTTTAAAACTAATACATTCTTAACTATACTCAAAATCTAAAGTATCAATAATTTCACTAAATTTTTGATGTAACAAATGTATAATTCATTTTACACTAAATCTCATTCCCTAAAAAAAATTTGAGCAATTCAATAAATTTCGAGTTCACTAATTTAACACTCTATGTGATGTAAACAATATTATCTATAATACTTATTTGAATTGAAAACAACATAAACGCATATATTCAAGTGATTCTTTAGTTTGAGAAAACTAAAAGTAACAAAATTATATTAAGTCTTGTCTGGTTTCTAATTTTCCGAAAAAAAGTAATGGTCAAGTAAAAATTGTATAATAATGAATTTTTTTTTTTTTTTTTATCATTATTCAGCTGTTTATAGTTAAACAATACATGATAGTATACAAACATTTATTAACTCTTCTCGTTTTCTCTATTTTTTTTTATACATATTATATTATTATTATTTGACTTGTGAAGAGTGTATAGCTGCCAAAAGATATTCTTTAAATTACTTTTTTTTTTCACATGTTGTAGGTGCTTTTTATTTATGTTTAAGTTTTGCTTTTGGGGAATTTCTCTTTGATGGCCCAAGGCTACAGCTTTCTCAGGCCTGTAGGACCACTAAACAAAGGGTTCTTTTCTCTTAATCTGGCTTTGGTCGGATTCACGTGATATTAATATATTAGCGATGCAACGTAACTCAGGATTTTATGAAAATCTTAAAAACCCGAATTCCGGATTTTGAGACAACAAAATCCGGATTTTGGGTTTATGTTTTTCAAACCTGATTTTTTTTATATATCTATATAAAATAAATGTCAAATAATGTCTATTCAAAAAAAATGTGTCTTCGAGATAAGGGACTTAGGATTTATTTATGTATATACTCCATCCCATTCCTTCAGATCTGATATTGCGTTTATATATATATATTTCTTGTAAGACCTTACGAATTCATGGTTTTTATACGATGGCACACTAAACATTAAATGTAGTACTATATTTAGTTATATTTATTCAATTCAATAGTTCAATTGATTCTTGATTACGACTTGACAGTATGGAAGCTTTCCCTTCCAGTTAAAATTAAATTATTTAAATAGGTCCAAAAACAATCCATAATTATTCAATATTCTTATTGAAAATTAATTACGCCCAAAATTGCTATGATCGATCATTAATAATTTAAATCTTATTTCCCTCGAGAAAAGGCGTATAAAAACAAATCAAAACGTTTTACTTAATTTACTTCATGGTAAAATAGATATATTTTAACAAATATCTACATTTCTTCTATTTCCTGGTTGATCCTTTGTTTTTTTTTGATTTTTCTAAATTGAAGAGAATACTCCTTAAAAAATCGAAAAATTACTCCCTAAAGTATCTCCCCTACACCGATTTTCTTTCAGAAAAGGTACTACATTTAAAAATCTGAGCAAGTCTTCTGGTAGAAAAGTTGCGCACAGATAAAAAAAAAAAGATAACTTTTTTGTAAAATCATAAACCTCTTCGTTCCACTCTTAATCTAAAAAAAGTGTTTTTTTTGATGTTTGAAATCGGGGTTTAAAATATTAAATTTCATAAATTTCATGATAGGAAAAACATGCACATAATAATATATTTTTTTATTTTAATTTCCTGTAAACTCTTTAACTCGTTTATTCATTTATTTTTTTAATTATTCGTGTGGCAAAATAGAAAATAATGATTATGATAATTATAACAATTAATAGAATGGTAAAATAAAATTGCATAAAATGAATTGGAAAGTATGGCTGACAGTATTTAATTTCCTTTTAGTTATTTGTGAGTGAATGATTCGATTAATGAAAGAAATACTACTAACAATTATTACTGAAATTTTTCGCTTATTATAATATATATGTTAGTTCATAATTTATTGCGAAAAAAATCATATTTTTTCGAATTTTAATACCAATGAGGTACACTTTAGGATCTACGAAATTTTACAAAAATTATTATTTTTTAAAATTTTGAACAAATTCTGGGGATAACTGGATTAAAAATTTAAAAACAAAAATAAAACATTTTCCATCTACACCAGTGGTTAAACTTAAACTTATAGTGCACACGGACCCCTGACGAAAGACTTTTAGGAATCACGGGCCCCCTACCAATACCTTTTTTTTACAATATAGCTCATGTTATCATAATCGATATATTTATCGATAGAGCTATTGCGCCCAGGGGACCGCTGACTACAGTTTTAGAACTGCTGATCTATACGATAAGAACCCTCCTAATATATATTAGTATACCTCCTAGTAACCCTCCTTATATATATTAATATCTATTAATCGCGCACAATGCAGAGTACAAAATAAATTACCTATGTATACTCAGATAGGAGAAGTTAATAGTTAAGTGTATTTTTATTATAAAACCATCGTGGCCGTCGGCGTTGTCAAGCTATAGGCAAGCCCGTTTAATATGTATAATGTATATATATGTATAAGATATATAACATATAATATATATATATATATATATATATATATATATATTTATATACATATAAAACACCCTTTTCGAATTTTTAATTTCGTTTCCGGAGTTTTTGGACGACTCGAATCGTCGTCGTTATGGACACCACGCACGTGTCAACTGTAAGTAGGTATACTCGTACATAATCTATCTCGATCCAAAAACATTTTGTATTCTTCGCGACGTGCACGGCGAATGCACTAGACTAGAAAATATACTCCGAGCGTATAATATAGCTGACGAAAGAGTTTTGTAATAAAACCGTTTTGTATTGGTATAATAATATTATCAATATTATCAGGTACTTATTACATGATAGTGTCAGTAAAATAATTGCTCGATAATATAGATTTCGGAAGAGAACTATCAAACCAAACTAAAACTATGTATGATTGTGTACTATGATAGAGTCCTATATTATAGTATTGATAGGTATGACGTTGGCAACCATATTATACTTCAATAAGACCAATGTGTTGATAAATTCGTGACATTTTTGTTTACGCCATAAATTATGTTATAATAACAATATAGAAACAATTTGTCGAAAGACTTATAGCGTTTTCTATGTGACTGCACTCGTATAAAGTAGGGTACAGCTATTGCCTGCTATCAACGGCCGCCGTCAGTACAGTAAATAAAGCAAATTCCTTACTACCAATATATTGTAATCTTACCTACACGAGTGCAAAAGAACGAAATTGTCGATTTTGATGGTGGAGATTATATTTAATAAGTATATTTTGTGATATAACACAATAGATTCGTATAAATATTTGTATTATTCGAACATTCGTGTATTTTGTGTTTATTGGTATGTATTTATATAATTATGAACTGTTTGTCCATTAACAATAGATTTTAACAAAAAAGTAATGTTTTACTAAATTTATTATCATCGTCTTCGTCTCTAAGGGGTAATGAAATAATAATAAAATAAAACATATATAATTATAGCCTATAAATCGTATTACCAATATGGTGGTATTTTGTAAATCATGTTCTTTTTCATATTATCATACACCAGTATGGCACAATTCAGATACATATGTATAAACGAGTTATATCATAAGGAAATTCTATTAATGTCGTAATAGAAAAATTGTTGGATCCATATCCATTTAACGTCACTATATTAATATGATAGCTGGTAATCGTGTATTCCGATTATTTTTATAATTGAATAATAATATTTTTTGATTATTCAAATATCTATGAATTATTAAAATGTATTATTTATTTATTTTATTAAAACTAATAATAAATTGGTAGGCCATGTACTCCCGGATGCAAATATTATTTATTTCTTTGACGCCTATTCGTTCGTATAATTTGTGATTCATTTCGAAGATTTTACATATAATCACAAATTAAATTTATCCTTATCACATTTTTTATAGCTAGAAAAATAATTCACGGTTTAATTAATAAAATTTGCTGTCTTGATATTTAATAGATATTGTGCTAAGATTCAGATTTAATCACATAGAGTCAGTAGAGTTGTTTAAAATATCTGCGATTAGAATTGATAATAATAACAAATAACACAAAAACTATCGAGAAATATTTGCGTTTATTTTGTTACAAGTACAGATTTGCAATTTGATTGTTTTCAACGGTGTTATTTTTATCAAAAAAATAATATTCTACTCAAATTTATCTGGATAAAAATGAAACAAGGCTAAACTGAAAGAAAAAAAATCGCTGTCGTTTAAATATATGCTATACATTTTATATTCACGTCAAAATACACAGAATAATAATATACTTGGATATAATGTAAAGGAATATAAACAATGACATAACTTTTAGGGTTATTTTAAAATATATTTTGGGTCTTTTGAAACTTTCCTTTTTCAAAAAAACAAAAATAAATAATCATAAAAAAATACACACATTTTTCCGCGCAGATAAATCAATATTTTGTTTAAGAAAACCTGCTTTCCCATCATCTAAAATATATTTATCTCTCATAAAATAAAAAACAAATAATACTGCAGGGTAATTTAGTATTATTTGAAAAATGAAACACTTTTTTGCTCTGTTAAATAGTTTTATTTTTTGCAGAAAAGTGGAAGTTAAAAAAAAAGTATGTATTTGTAATATTTTTAAAAATATCTGGTATTCATAAAAAATATTTTGGTAATTAAAACTTGTATAAGTTATATATAGTCATAGGTTTGTTTATTTTTTTCGATTTCAGTTTCTTGATAATTTGGCAGAAATATGTATTATCACTTTTGTTGATAATCGCTTGTAGTATTGATCGATACCGATTTATTATTATATTTAAAAAAAAAAAACAATTGTTTCGAAAAATATTCAATGTAACCTTTATTATGGATATGATACTGAAATCGTGCCGGATAATCCTGTATTAAATATAAAAATGCTTAAACAGTAATAACAGTAAAAAAAAAAAAAATCCTTATCAGTAAGCATGTGCTCAAAACTTGAAAGAAACGGTACAATTACCGTGTCTCTTAGACCACAACAAAAATCTCACTATTCGTATCGAGAATTGGAAATTAATCCCGAAAAAAAAAACAAGATTCATGTGTGTAATACGTCAGATTCCGCTTAATGTGGGCACATTGGGACCAGTTACATTTGCCTACATTAGCGGAATCCACTGCAAATTAAATTTTAAATAAATTGCATACTCTATATTTACTTTGCAAGAAAAAAATAAAACAAAAACAAAACAAACAAAATACGCCAAGATTAAATATTAAATTTAAAAAACTTGTCTAGGATAATGGAAACGGGTGCAGCTACTATTGTAGGTAAGAAATTTGAAAGGTAGAATAAAGACGGAAATTTAATGTATGTTTGTAAGTAATGATTAAACATTACCAACGAAAAAACGATTATTATGAGTGGAGTTCTGTTGATAGTGTTGCTTTGTTAACAATATATATATATTTCATATTTTGGTAAAATAATTACATATGAATAAAACATTTTCTTTAATAATATTTGTTTAATCGTAGGTCTTCTATTCTCCCGTTTTCTCAGTTTTCCCATCTTTTTCCTTGTTTTTTCTATTTATTGGCAAAACTCTTAGGAAAATTAAAAAATGACCTCCTAAAAATACTTTTAAGTCAGATTTCCTTTTTAAAAAAGTACCATCAATGTAAATAGGATCAAAATTATCGGTAGATAAGTTATCCACAGAAAAATAAAAATAAATATTATTGTAAAACCATAAGTTTCTTCGCTCCACTCAGAATCTGAAATAAAAATATTCTAAGCGATGTTCGGTTAACCGTGTTTTGAAATACTGTGATTTATAAGATTTTCGTTAAAATTTGAACTAGAAAGGCTTTAAAAAAAAAAAAAAAAAAAAAAAAAAAAACATTACGCTCAACTGTTACCACCAAGACAATTTATGATGAACATAACAGTAAAGTACGTTCAAACATATTGAAAATGTTCAAAATTGTTTTATTCCAAAAAGTAATTATCAACACATAATATTGTATTTTGCATATGGAAGTATTATTTTAGGGATTGCTTCCTTTTTTAATTGATAACAAGTGTGAAATAATTATTCGAAATTCATAAATGTATAATAAACTTTAGAGTACCCGTGGTTTTTATGAAAAATCATCATCTACGATTATTTAACCGTTTCGCTAAAAATAAACATCATAAGTATATCGTAAAGAGGCGCAAATTGCAACTATTTGGTTCGCAGTGGTCATTATTACGATTTCATATTTGCAAGAATATTATTACTGTACCTGATACTTGTAGGAATTCACCTTTCGGTCTGCTTTCATTACACTGACTAACAGAAAATTCAAAAGCGTTCCAAATATCCGAGTCCTTTGTCGTTGCGCACGTCGTTCTGGAACGGCAACGACAATAATAGATCGCCAACAGTTATGCTACCTTAAACACACATACACGCATGCACTTGTGTGCCGTTTCATTTAAGCACACGTAAGTTACATAATAATATACACATTTGAAAACTATACGTAGTAAATCCAATATTTGTTCCCCAATACCCTACATCATCGGCCAAACAAATTGATTTAACAAAAATGTTCGAAAAATTATAATTAAAATTAATTTTAATTATTTTAAACTAATTTTCCATCTCAATTACGTATAATCATTGGCGTGGTCAAGTATTCGTTTCACCATAATAAAATTTGTTGAATTTATTGAACTTTTCAAATTATTATTATTATTATTTGTATGGAATAATTTTTTGTAGAAATTGTAAGAAACTGAATTTAAAAGGTGATGTATTATACAGGGTGATTTTTTTTATCATGAACCAGGAATTATCTCAAAGAATTTTAAGTGAATTTGATTTCTGTTTTTCTAATCATTATGGAATCGTTTAAGCTTTATTTTAAAGGTATTTTTAATATTTTACCCCTATTCCATGTACCTTAAATAACTATATAAATTGCCTATCTTTGACCCTTCTCTACTCCTCCGGTCTAAATTTTAAACTGTTATAACTCATAAACGGTCAAATTAGTTTTATGCATAACAAAATTTCTAGAAAAATATTCTCTAATCAAATCTGTGTTCAAAAAAAGGGTTCCTATTTAAAATATAAATGTATGTACTTATTTAAGTTATAAGAAGTAAGGGTAAAATATTAAAAATATTTTTAAAATAAAGCTAAAACAATGCCATAATGATAAGAAAAAACAGAAATCAAATTCACTTAAAATACTCCGAGATAATTGCTGGTTCATGATAATAAAAATCACTTTGTATGCACTACAGGGTGTCGTACAGTGTAATCTGAATGCTAGTAACTCTGTCAATATTTATTTTTTTCAATCGGGTTTTGTATCAGGGAGACACAAATGTATAGAAAAATTAAATTTTTATTTATATCCCTTGATTACTGAAAAAAAAAAAAAACATTAGTTTTTTACAATTTAAAGTTTCAAAATAGCCAATTTGTAAAATATATTATTCTACACATTTTAATGGTACGTTAAAATACTTATATATTCGATCAATAGTTTCTCAGTAAAAGTCGTTTTAACTTCTAGAAAATTGATGTGATAATAATTAATTTTCAATAAAATAACACGTGACGCAATATGGAATATTGCAATCGGTACAATCAGCATACATTTAAATCCCTCAAAAAAAACTTGATAGAAAATGTATTAAAAACATGAATATTGACAGAATCCGTCATCTTAATTTTAATAGTACTATTATTATTATAACTTTAATAGTTACAGCGATCGATTTGAAAATGCGTTTTTGCGGTAAATTAATATAATATCTTTTATTATTATTTATGTATAATATGGTTTAAGTGTATCGATTACGGGATGGTTTCCGAGTTTATATAGAAGTATAATATTATCGTGTAAAATAATAGTGTTTTCAGGACGGACGAATCGATACAAAAACGACGCTCGACGATAGAGGCGCGAAAATTAAACGAGACGCGTAAAATATAAAAGGGGCCGAAAGCACGAAGCATCGATAACGTTAAAATAACGGACGATGGAAAATCCAGAATAGTAATAATATTATCGTATCATCGTACATTTTGTGTTATATATTACTGATTAGTATAATATGATACAGTTTTTTTAAATTTTTTATATACTGCAACAAATATAAATATATTAATAAACGACTCATTATCATAGTAATAATTAATATCGTGAGATTATTTTATAGTATTTTTTAAATTTAAATTCTAAGTATAACTAATATGGCTATAGTTTTATTAAAATGTGTTTTTCTATGAATACCGTATTTTTTTCTTTAGAGTGAAATGCTCCACAAAATATTCACCGGTTTACTCCCAAGATCCTTTTTATATTTTTTAAAATTTTTCTAGAAAATATAAACTATTGTGCTGTATTGTGTCTATAATATATATATATATATATATATATATATATATATATGAATGTATTATGTTATATATGGATATTTTTTTTTCTAATATAATATTTGGACACTTTTAGCGGCTCCCTCTGGACCAAAAAAGCTCGGGAATTACAGTTTTCTTTACATGAGGGTTGAAGTGATACAATTTTGGTAAAATTTCAATATTATGTACTTTGCCGTGTTGTCGCGAGAGGAGATTGTTTTCTAGCCTACACCCTTACAGACCCCCTCCCCAAATGAACCCAATGTGATAAAATTATCATCTCTTTTTCCAACCATTTTTATGCTCAGATTTCATGATTTAACAATAAATATATACCTTTATGGACTCATGAAAGTAAGTAAATTGATTAAAATAGGTATGTATAAATATAATTTTCATTATGGGTGTGCCTTTAAAAGGTTTGAATTTCCAACCCTCTATCCCACCGTTCGTTTGTATGTTAGCGAAAATCTTGAAGACTTTTAGTTAAATTCTTAATTTCTTACAATTATATTAAAAAAAAAAAAATAAAAATAAAAAAAATGAGATGTGTAACAGCAAAAAGTCAGCTGATGGAGAATTTAACTCTAGTGCGGGAGTTTTGCTGCTTATGTAATTTTAAAATTTTGAGTTTAGCTATTAGTTTTACTAAAATATGTTTTTCTCGAAAACCCTTTTTTTTCATACTGTGTTAAACGCTCCGCTTTACACGCAGTGCTCTAAACGGTTAGGATAGTCATTTTACTCGAAACATTATTTTTAAATACTATACGGTTTATTCCCTAGATCATTTAGTTAAATTTTATCGGGAAACACAGTTTTTTTACTTATACTTATCGTAGTATATTTTTTATTAACCTTCCTAGTTTACCGAGCTCCGATTTCTCTATTGCAATAGTTTTATCGTTGGCTTCAGTATTTAAATTTACAATATTTATATCCTATACACTATACCCTATGGCCTGTACATTCAAAACTCCAGCGTGCAACTGCAATCTACCCAGTGCTCTATTTGCGATTTGTTTTGATTGGGAAGAGAGACGTATAAACACAATTTAGAAGGCAAATTGCACCTAAATCATGCCCACCAATATTATAGAAACCGGGTTACCCTAAACGGCCAAACCCTTAACACTTCCCACTAATACGTCAATGGGCGTATACAATATGTAAACGGTTTTGTATAGACAGTTTTAACGACATTAATTATGAAAATACATAAATATAAAATATTTATAAATAGGTATTATAGTTTTTTAACTCCAGACATTTTCACCTCCCGACGTTTTTTTCTCGGGCATTTTGGCAGAACCCTATTTATCTATATTATAGTAAAACTAATAGATTCCTTGCTACACCCTGAATTTGAAATATATCAATTAATTTTAATTTTAAAATTGAACATAGTCGAATTGCAGTTAATTATTGTAATGAGTTGTGAATTTTTTAAAATTAACCATAATTAAATTAATATAAATAATATTCTATGTTTTTCATCAATCATTAGCGATCGGTGCATATTGGTACGGTTACCTTGGTAGATAAGATAGCCGTAAACGGAATTACGGTATTTATGCCATGTGAATGGTTGTAAATAATTAATAACGCACTTAACATATAAATATTAAACTCAGAATATCTCGATGAAAAAAATCAATTAATACCTAGTAATATCCAAAGGATCCATTTGTCGGGTTTGTAACATTAGAGATGATATTTTTAAATCTTTCACATTAAATAATATATAATATTTATAAAGATAAAAAGATGATAAAAAAATTAATTTTTCCGATAATTATTTTGTAAAATTTGAATTTGTTTTAATGTTAAATTATAACTGTTGACAATACAATACATTTCGAAGTAAATATTAAAACACTATAACACACGTATTTTTCAATGTATGTACTTCCGTAGTATAACTTTCTCTCTTATCATTATTGACACACTGAAACCAACTTATTCTTCAAATAATAATTCCAGTCCTTAAGTAAAATTGTAATCAATATCAATATCGCAATTTTTACAAATCAATTGGCCAAAATGTACAATAGTTTTTCAGTTTTTATTTTTTTGATTAATGTCTAACAGCGATTACCAAGTAAAAACAAACATATATTTTTAAAAGTGTAAAACGACACGTTACGTCGGGTCTATAATATTATATTATTAATTGTTTACCTATAATATATTTATTTTAAATAAATAATAATATAATAACATATAAAATTAAAATTAGATGGTTGTAATGAAGAGCAGGTAGTATATAATATTGTCTTTGTAATATTTGGGTAATCGTATACAAATATATTCCAACAATAGCAGTTCAAATTAACCAATTACATGTACTTATAGCAGTGTCAACAATTTTGTAGGTATATTTTGTACAACAATAGTCGTCAAAAATAGTAAATAGATCGTTAATCGAGATTTCGAAATATTCAGACCACTGCTACTGCTGCTGCTGTTGCTGTCGACTGTTTTATGTGGCTTTTCAGAGTTGAGCAAAATTATTCGCTGCCCGATTTCCGGCCAAATTGGTGACTTTAGACCGATGTACCGTTTTATTATGTCGAACTCAGATATCTCTAAATCATTCGAAAAAAAACATAATACAATTCCATCAGTGGAAATAATTATAGCGCAAAATGCCTGCAGATGATCAAACGCGCGATACGAGAAGAAACTTTGAATAAATTTGACGTTTTAACGGTATTTTTTGCATTCATTATAATGTAGAATAGGTCATTAATTTTATACAGGGTTATCAACTCTTGATAAGACACTCATTATCTCGGAAAGTATTTTTCGGATTTCGGATATTGGACAATTTATAAAAGAAGTAGTTCTAAAATGTTATATTACCGTTATTTTTTGTCACCCTTATTTTTGGCGATGACACGAATAATAATTTTTTTTTTCAAATACCAACATGTATAAAAAATTATACAAATAGATGTCGTTTTTGTATAAATACAATTTGTAAAAATTTTAAAACTTTCTGGGATAATGAGTAATGAGAATAATGTTGTTCTACTGCTGTATTTCGATACACGTACATTATGGAATGTGTACGGTTTTTTTTTTCAACAATTTGTTCAAATTGGCGTTTTCAAAATAATATAATTGATTGTTATTTGGAAATTAACAGTCGATAATAGTATTATATCGTATTTATATTGAGGTATACGGAGTATAAGTGTGGGTTTTTTAGAATATCATTGAAAATAAAATAATAACATAATGTCTAGGAGGGGGGATTCCTTAAAATCCTCGTATGGATCTGATCACCGGTATTTGCGACAAAATTCAATCGCAATACTTTATATTACTGTATAATATACTCACCGAAACTTTTATAACCGGCGATATTTGTAAACGTGAAACCGTCTCCCCCGTTCGCTAAGTACCTGGTCATGATTATCGTATAATTTTCATCCAAATTTAATTTCTGATAAACCGGAACGGTGCATTCTCCACACCTAGCTTGTATCGATTGTACCCGCTTGCCAATGGGCTGACCCAAGTCTATGACGACCCGTAAACCTATTTGACGATATCAAATACATATTTTATATAATTCCGTTCAATAAGTAATACCTATACCGAAAAAACAATGTCAGTAGTGGAGTAGAAATGTTAATACAGATCTTCCAGTGTTATCGGTTTCAAATGAAAAAAAAAAAAAAAAAACTTTAAATTACCATGACTTAGAGAGCCTGTATACTGGCTTGTTGTCTAAGAGATTTGTTAAAACAATTAAATTTGGTTTTTTATATTTTTAGTGTTTGATAATTATTATCTAGTAGTCTATAGGTTTACAAATATTATTAATTTTAACTCCATACATGATAACAATTTTATTTTTATTCAAGTGCACATCGTGTATGAAGTACATTTGAATCTGTCACTGTGATGTGTGTATTATAAATAAAGGGGCACATTTCAATGTTAAATATAAATTAAAAATAAACAAAAAATAATAGTGTTTATTCAAATTATAAAAAAAAAACACCATATAATAATGTAACAATATAGGAACATTGTTTAAACTTTGTTGTAAACAAATGCGTTGCATGTTTTATAATTCAAAAATCTACCCCGTGTCAAAATTATCAATTAAAAGCGTTTTATAAATTGTAGTAATTATAAATAAAATATGTATAGTAAATATACTACTAGGCAACCAAATTAATATAAGTAAACGTTATAATATAGTTATGATTTTTGATCTTTGTTTCCAAAAAGTTCTTACGGAAAACAAGATTAAAAAAAAAAAAAAAAATGTAAGTAAACAGATTATTATTTTTGTTTATTACAAAGATGGCAAAATATTTCTTGTTTTGTAACACAGTATGAAAACCAGTGTGACTAACTATTTTTAATTGTTTATTGTATTCGTTTAAGTTACTTTAACAAAATATATTAACTAAATTAAATTCTGCTCCATCCTCTCCTATCCTATATCGAATTGATAACGTATTAAGTATTATCATATGTATTAAACATTGCATTATGGCGATGGTCCTGCATATTGATATAACTATGATTTGATTGAGCAAATTACGTGAAGGCGTTTTCCTAAATTATATCTGAATATCTCGGCCAAAACTACGTGTGACAACCCGTTCCCCGGCTGGTAATATAGAAGATCAATTGCGCGTAGTTACTTTGCCTAGTACAGTGATAACCATACAACAGTGGTTCCCAACTGGTGGTTCGCGGACCACCGGTGGTCCGTGGACTCATCTTAAGTGATCCGTGAATAAAAAAATTTAAATTTAAAAAAATGAGCGAATTTATACTTGATATTTTTTATTATTAACGGCTTAGCGCCTAACAGCCAGATAACACACTATCGCGACCGATGAAAATTTATGTACGGATATAAATAACATTATCTATAACTATAACTATTATCTATAAAAAATAAACAACGAAATCGTCTGAATCCAAGTGATGATATGCGACTGGCACTAAGCAACAGCATCGTTCCAAGAATTTCACAACTGGTAAAAGAAGCGCGCCCTATTAAGTCACATTAATACTCAATAATATTAATTTGTTATATTTTTTCTCATTGAATAAGTTAATCAATATAAGTTCGTAAAATGTAAAATTTAAATTTGTATTAGCTTTTTTTATTAAATTAAATTTTTAAATAAATAAGTTAAAATATTTTTCTACGACATAAACTGTATTTCTGATTTTATTTTGTACCTAGAAATTATAAACCATATATAAAACTATAAAAAAAATAAGTGATATAAAGAGGGGGGGGGGTTTGAAATCAGGGATTGGTCCGTGACGGTGAAAAATTTATAAAAGTGGTCCGTGCCTATTGTTGAGTTGGGAACCACTGCCATACAACATTATACTTATATTTCCTATTCGGGTTATAGGGGTATATTAGTTGATAAATGAAACATTTGATTTTCGACGCCATTTCTTAAATAAAAACACTTAAGTAGAAAACGTAGGAAAATGTACAATTTTACAATTTCATTATTTTATAAAAACACGGACGACGTTTTCTACCAGAAAAAAATGATTTCATCGAAAAATCACGACACCTTTTTGTTGCCTTTTTGATTTACTTTCTACGGTATTATCGGCAACATTTTTGAGCCACTTTTAAACCTTTAAGAAATTTTAATTTTGGGAGTTTTTTCGCTGTAATTCGCTTATATAAATACACGTAAAGACTTGAAACTTGGTAATGATACCTATATTGGACTTACCTAAACGTGGTTAAATTTCCAAAATCATCGGACGCTTTTTTGTCGTTTTCAATAAGCATTTTAAAATCAAATTTAAACGAAAATAGCAAAAAAAAATTATTGTACTCCAAATTATGTATAGCCGAAATGCGCTCGGAATTGTCTTTCGTCAATAATGGTTTGTCGTTGCTACAGATATAAATGAAATAATCTTATGTATCCTACCTTCCCAACTTCCCATCTACAACAGTGGCTACATCTGTCCCCAGTATCGTTTTTTCTATGTTTTTTCCTTCATTATAATTAATGAAGGAAAAAACATATAAAACCAAATTTTCTTTCAGAAAAGAGTAACACTTGAAAATCGGAACAAAATCAATGGTATTAAAGTTGTTTATAGATAAAAAAAATTAAAAATTAATATCATAGTAAAAATAATACATTCATCAGAACCTAAAATTTAAGAAAATGTGTTAAATGAAAATTTAATTTTCCATAGGTTCTTTATAGATATAAATATGTATTTTGAATTTTCTGTGATTTTTGTATGAATTTTATATATTTCTAAAGAAGTACCACATAAAAAATAATTTTTCAAGGTTCATAAATATATATACGCTTTAGAGTACCATGGTGGAATCGGAGGAAATCTTTTACTATCAGTTATTACATTTTCTCCTAAAATGTAGACTATTTTATAGTAATCTTGTCTGTTATGCATAGATATATCTTTTCCTTGCTACTTTAAATATTTTTAATGGTTCTCTCTTGATTAAATGAGCTCAAAATCCTGAATTAGAGTAGTTTTATATACAGATTGATGTGGTACAATTATCGTTGCAGGTGAAGGGCTTTTTTATTGCGATTTTATATACATGTATATTATATACATATATAGGATGTCCCATTCGGATTTTCAACTATTTACACCTTCCCGTCCATTGTTATGCCCAAATTTCATGCTTTCACAAGAAATACTGGGTTTTAAAATTTACTAAAACGTAGTAAAACTCTATATTAGATCAATTATTTAGAAATACAAAAAATTAGATATTTAAATATTTAAACGACGATAAGTTGACTAAACACAAATTGCACTTTAGTGATGGAATACTGCTACTCACATGTGTTAACATGGTTATAACTACACAAAACGAAATTATTTAATCTGTAATAGTTATCATACCACCATTTCATACTTCAAAGTATATTATTACTATACCTGATACTTGTAGGAATTCACCGTATAGAATTTTTTCGTTGTACCGGTGAACGGAATATTCAAAAGCGTTCCAAATTTCCGAGCCCTTTATCGTTATCTTGCCTACCTCGTTCTGGAACGGCAACGACAATAACAGATCGCCAAACGTTATGTTACCTTAAACACACACACACATATATGTGCGACGTTATATCTAAGCACACATAAAAAATAATAATCACATACGAAAAACTATAGATGGTAAAATCGATATTATTTCTAATTTATACCTATTCTGGAAATGTGATTAATGTTTGATCGAATTCCACCACTTTGCATTATTGCTATCGGTGCGTCGGTCCAGGATTTGGTCGATGAGCCGACCGGTTTCACGTTAGTCCATAGGTTCTATTTACAGGACAACCGATTTTTATTCAGTATTACGCACAAAAAACTATCGAGAATAGAAATATTTTATACTCTAATCAAAAAAACAGCTCAACGTTCCACAAATATCACTGATAAATTTATATTAAATGCCCTAAAATCCAGTAAAATAAGCGATATTTTTAAAAGTATGTTGCTAGTATTCATTGATAAATAATGCAACTTCAAATAATAATTATAAAAAAATGATTTTTAAATTATTTAGTAAAAAGAAGATAATGCACATCGTTACATTTAAATACTTCTTATCTTAAAAAGTAATAACTTTTTTCGGAATTTGTTTTATAAGACATTTAAAGGAAATTTTCCAGTTGACAGAAAAATGATAAGATGACAAGTTTAACACAATAGAGTTTCCAACATTCTATACTACAGAGGTGGCCAAAAGTCACGCAACGCCTACCGTCTTGTATGGAACGCGCGTTACGGCGCAGTTTCTCCCTCCACGTCGTTTTCATTACATCATATTGTAACTTTGGTCTCACTATCTTATTTACGTACAACAACAGCAACAATTATAAAAAAAACAACATAACCATGCCATTATGCGGTTGTGGTTCGTGATTTTTTGAATAAAAACTTCAACGAATGGATTGGTCGCCGTGGGACGACGGAATGGCCCCCAAGATCACCCGATCTCACATCTTGTGATTTCAGCATGTGGGGAGTTATCAAAGATCGAGTTTACAAGACGCCAATCTAAAATTTGATTTATTTAAAAAATCGAATCGAGGAAGAATTCTAAATTTTGAGCACCGATTATTCGTATCTTTACAATGCCACAAACGTGGTAAAAAAAACGTTGTGGAGCAGTTATTGAAGCTGGAGGACATAATTTTGAACATTTATTGTAATTGCCGTAAGATGATGTTACTTTGTAATGTTAATTTTTATATCATTTTTTTTTTTATTTGAAAACATAAACGACTTTTTTTACTATTACAAATTGTGTTGCAAATATGTTGCGCGACTTTTGGCCACCTCTGTATAAATTGTATACCCTTACGGTAATGTGACCAGCCTATCTCAAAATAAAAATTGGCTCGTACAATTGTTTAACTCTTATCGTTTACACAACCTTAAAATAAATATATTTTATGTAACCACTAATCACCAAGACATTCAGTATAACTTTTGAAGCTGTTGCCATCGTTTGTATTCATCTTATTCACAATTTCTTATTATTTATCACAAATATTCCATAATATTTATTACTCGTATTCTACTTATAGTTGTCTTAACCATTAGATAAAATTAAAAATACAATACAATGAAGCTATGCTAAACTGGACATTTTGAATTAAAATGTATATGAATGAATAAAAGTATACAGCCATGGATATCCATCATTACTTAATTTGTTTGAAAAAGAAAACAGGTTATAAAATAAAAATGATCTTTAGGTTAGTTAAGTATTAAATAAAGAAATTAAATATATTGAATATAACAAAAATGATTGCATATCTCCATAGGACACCTGTATATCACAAATACATAGTGTTATTATTTTAAATAATTTAAAACATATTTTTTCCATATTGTTGGTATAACTACACTTTTATTTAAATTTTATCTTTTCGATATTGATATCACTGCAAGTCGCTGTAGCTACAATTACCTTATCATTTTTCTAACAACTGGGTACTAACCTATATTTAAGAAACAAGCAGCTCTAAAATTTTACATTCATGTTAATTTCTATCACCCTTTTTTCGTGTATAAGACTACTAGGTATCTACTTTTGATTTTAAAATAGCAACCTGTATTTAAATATCCATAAATAGAAGGAGTATTAGTTAAGATAAATTTTGGTGTTGAAATTTATTATTTCCATCAATCCATACATGGGATATTCCACTTTTAAGTTTGGGTTGGGGAAAGTATGATTGAAAATTAACATTAGGTAATGGGTAGTTTTACCCCTAAAAATAAGAGTGACAAAAAATATTATAAATTTAAAATTGTAAAGCTGTTTGTTTTTTAAATGTTCTAACTAACCTAGCCTAACAAAACAAATCCCAAAAAAATTAACACTTTCCGAGATAATGGAAGAATGAATGAGCGTTCCCAGTTAAATGAAAAATGTAATTTTTCATTGAAAAAACGAAAATATCCAAAAATACGAAGTAAAAACTGACTTTATTGTTACAAATTCCGAACTTTATACTTCTAGAAAACTATATAAATTCACGGCCCTTATATATAATATTAAAATTTGTAATGATTCTTAAACTCACGTAGTCTATAAACGCGTCCGTTATGAGATCGCCGAAATTGCACTCTCTGACCCTACAATACTTGTCGATACCTTCCAAAAACACACTTGTCGAACCTATCACTTCTTTTGTCTTGAAGTTTATGAGATTATCAAAATCTTTTATTTGGTTCAAAATGTTGTGGTCTGTAAACGGAAATATGTACACATTTAGGTTACATTATTATCATTATGAACTATCAATTTTGAATAGGTACAATTTCTTTTTAAAATAGGTTATATTTATAATAATATACCTTGCCCGAAACGGTAATCCAACAAAACAGGATTCCCGTAACTTCGAATCACTTCTCCTGCCTCGTCAAATTCTATCCACAATTTTCCCAAATATTTGGTCAGATGAAACGCCTGTACTACGGGCACTTCTCTATTCGTTCTTGGTTGTTTTACCATAAATGGATACTGGCCGACGGGTTCGTCGATGGGGTCTGGCGGATCTCCTGTATAAAACAACATAAAACTTGTTGGCCATTTTTTCCCGTGTATTTTTTAAAATGTTTTATCGTGAAATTCACCATTGTATAAAAACGTGTTGGTATGCCCACCGATCACCAGATCGATATCGTCCACTTGTTCCGCAATTTTTTTGTCTGTATCAAAACCGGAATGCCCCAGTGCTATAAGAATATTCACCCCTTCGTTTTTCAGGCGTTTCGCTTCAGCAGTTATCGATGGGATTTCTGGTAATATTTTTAAATTACCCACGAACGCTAAATACTGTATTAATACGCAAAAATAACACATTTTTCAATAGATATAAATACATTTCAAGTTTTAATTTTTTTTACACAGTGGCAGTTACCTGAAAGAGGGTGGGGTGATCGGAACATTCGCTCCCCTCCTCCCGTAGACCTTATGCATGTGTGTATTGTTATTTTTTTGTAATGTTTTCACAATTGTTTTCAAAATATATTTTTTAAAGTAACTAGTTAATAATATATGGTGGTCGAACACATAGGTATAAAATATTTTTGTTATCCGTTTCTATGGTAGAAATGGATAAGGTTTCTGATGTTATCATTTTTTTTTGGCGGTTCGACCGTTGTTTCCTATCATTGATTTCTAATTACAAAATAAATGTGTCTGGATCGTTTATTTAGGCTTGTACTATGCATATTTACCAGGAAAAAAGTAACCAGTGGATGATATTATTAAAAAATTCTCTTCTATGAAAAACCAGAGGTGAGACAATATGTTATACATTTATGACATGTATTATAATATTATATTTATTTAAATACAAATTCCTTATTTCATGTGTTAAAATGTTATATTTCACAAACCTAATCTAACCTAACTTTTTAAGTACCCAATCTCTGTAATTATTAAGACAATTGTTGTATCTGCGACATTACTTTTTTATGGAATTTTCTATTTTAAGAGTGGGTAAAAATATATTTCACCCCTCCCCTAAAAAAAGCTTAGGTTCGCCACTATTCTTACATTTGAATATTCGTAAAAATAAAAAACAAGTCAATTATCATATTTTATTTAATTTTTTTACATACTGATGTTTCCGGCGTCAAGTATCCGATAATGCCGATTTTGCGACCGTTGACCGTGAGCACCTTGGATTTCATTAAATTTGGCTCATTAGCCAATGAAGGTTCGCCGGTTAGATCGAGATTACTGGCCACTACCGGAACGGTTATGTTGTGTATGAACAACTGGACGTCTTGCACGCCGTCGTCGAATTCGTGATTTCCCAAACTCTATAACGTACACGTAATTCGTATTATTAACAAAATAATAATTTATTAAAATAATTTCCAAACTAAAAAAAAACGAACATACTTCACATAATGGGCGGGCCACTATTGCAGGTGAGAAGTTGGGAAGGTAGGATATAAAGAGGAAATTAATGTATTGTATGCAATAATAAAACATTGCTAACAGAAAAGGATTCTGAGCGGAGTTCAACTATACTTGTTTTAAAGGCCGTAGTATTTACAATTTCCTTCAAAATTTGATATTGAAATTCTAATATAAAAAACAAATACTACATTAAACTCAACGTTTTCTTGTTGACCACTAGGCACCAAGGTACAACTTATAATGAACGTCCTGTTAAATTGTCAATCATTTATATTTGGTCTAACAATTTTTTTCACAGTATACCTAATGAACAAATATTACGTTAAAAAATCGCAAAGTTAAAAATGTTTATAAATAGCACAAAAATTATTCAAATGTTTTGAATATTTTATCACTTCAATAAAAGCAAATATAATGTCTCTGTTCAAATTTCAAGTCTCTGCGAACATTTCGAACTGAATTACAAAAAAAAAAAAAAAAAAAAAAAAAAAAAAAATAAAAGCATTATTTTCGTACATTTTTTCTTTTTCTTATATTTTTTACGGGTTTTCCCAATTATTATCAAATCGTTTTGAAAATTAATAAATTACCTCCTTAGAGTATCAATGAGATAAAATGTCCACACAATATACAATTCAACCAATACTCTCGATAACGTCGTCTATTCTTCATCCTCATTGTTTCCCACGTCGTTTATTTTTCGTGCTCTTTGTTTTTCACGTCTTATCACAGTACCTTTATTTACTGCAAAAACCTATATTCAATTATTTTTTGGCCTACTAATTTTCTCATTTATTTATTATTATTTTTATTTTTTTCTAGGAATAACTTTTCTACCAGACATTTTCCTCCGACTTTGAAATATAGCGCCTTTTTTGAAAGGAAATATTATTTTGTTGATACTCTTAGGAGGTTATTTTTTAATTTTCAAAATTATTGGGAAAAAATGTAAGAAACGGGAAAATTTACGAAATGTATTATTTTCAATTTTGATTTTAAGTTATAATCTAGTTTAATATATTCGTAGAGAATTAAAATTTGGAAAGAAAACTTCTATTTTCCTTTCTTAACTTGGTAAAATTTTCAAAATATTTGAGCTATTTTTGATATTTTTATTTTGCCAGTTTTTAAGTAATTTTTATTCTGTAGGTACTCTGTGGATATAATTGTTAGACTAAATAGAAATGCTTGAAAACTTAACACGAGGTTCATTATAAGTTTATTATCATGAATAAAAAAAAAGAACTGACTTCAGAACATTACGTCAAAGGTAGCATATAAATAGGACTTTTTGGATATACGTTCTTATTCTTTTACAAAATGTCATACTGTGCACACAATCCCTGATAGAGTCTAGTTTGTTATTTATATAATGTTATACATAATTATATAACTAGTCATGTTGTTTACTTTAACTATATATCAAAGTCCTTAGTTTACTCAAACTTCCAATTCTAACAAAACTCGTTTGTGAAAATTGAATTTTAAAATTTTAAATCAGACAATAGGCGAGTTGCTTAATCGGCCAAACCATGGCCAAAATGCGTTATTAATTGCGTTTTTGGAGTTGCCTGAACCACCCGGCCGTTTGAGCAGTGCTTTTCACGAGCAGCTATTTTTACCTCGAGGTCGGTAAAGGTATCTTTAATCGTGCTGTTCACTCATTTACCTCACTTGTTTCGTCTTGTGTACTATGTAGTTTGATTTGAAAAGAAAATAATATAGCGTTTCACTTCATTAAATTTAACTATTATTAATATAATTTATTATTATCAAGATATTGTGAGAGTCGAATTCAAGTATTTATTTACTGTGTTTCGTTTTGTATTGTATTGTACTGTGTATTTTTTTTGGAAATAAAATAAAATGGCTTTTCACTACTTCGTTAAATTTATTTTAAATGGTGATAAAACAATTTTTCATGGCAAAGTCATGTAATTTTTAATGACGAACAAACAAAAACTAAACGCTTTTGAAAAATGAACAGATAAAAAGCAATGATAACGATGTCCCACCGTTCATTCGGTTTTCAAATGAATTGCCTTTAGATAGTGACTAAAATCGAAATTTGTATGTTTTGTTTGATCAAGTTTTTAGCCTATGTACCTGATTTAGAATATTATCGTAGAGGAAGAAACAAAAAAATCCGAGATCTGACAGGAGTTTCAGAGATTACTAACTTTGTGAAAGTGCAACGAAAAAAATGGTTCGGACACGAGATGGGGAAGGCCGACGCAGAGGATATAAGAGCATTTGTCGAGTGAAATCCAACAGGAAATATAGCAAGAGGGCATTCAAAGAAGCAATAGATTAATAGGATAATGTAGGATGTCCAGAATAATAATAAAATAGGAAGAAAAATTGAAAAATCGTGAGGAGTGGGGGGAAATAGCGATAGAGGTAAAAACTCTTGAAGAGTTATGATGCCAAGAAAGAAAAATGAAAGTAAACGTTTTAAACTCTACGAGTTCGTTATCAGACCGTTTTTTCCTGTTTAACATTCGATTATATACTTGACGGTTCATAGCGTAATCATTAAATTTTACTATAAAACGAATCCGATTTTCCGTAAATTCCTGTTATTTTTACAAATATTCCATTGAGTCGTTATAAATTATATTTAATATTATCTCGTTTCTCTTTGTACGCAAGGTTATACTGTTGTACACTGCTGTACATTATTTATCAAAACTGTTTCACGTATTCGCATATCTAATATGAAAAATTCGCGTTATGTCAGTTGACACTAAATTATTATACTTAATATTATTATTCCCTGAAACTTATACGGCCGCGCGAATAATAATATATCATAATATATTTCTAATATATTTGTTTAAACCCAGACCAAATTTGAGACGCCGTTGTGGCGAATAAAACGTTCATTTTATTTTTCGTCATTTGCATATTAAGCCCTCAAAGCAAAAACGTCTTAAATAATTATTGAGAACATTTTTGAGAAAAACGTGTTTTTATATTTTGCATTTTCTAACATTCATAATACCAAGTACGTTTTACTTCTTGAGGCTATAGCTACATTGGACCCGTTTCCGATTCGTTTCGATACGACTGACCCAACCGGTACCTTACTCATCCGATATGTGTGGCTACATAATTTCCGATTTTGTATCGACGATTATTTATAAGCATTCACCGACGCTTAGAGTGCTCATGTTTATTAGCCGTGTTTAATATTACACAGTTTCTATTCAATATATTTTTAATTTCTAGCAGCTCAGATGACGAATGGGATGATTAACTGGATAATAACAATAATATGTTATATTTAAATGATTCAAGTTGGATAAATCATTTATGAACAAATTTTACAAATGAGAAATATTTAAAAAAGTATTAAGTATTAAAAGTATTAAGCTTCGAGAATATATTCTGATAATTTAATCTAATTTGGTCCAAGTGATTGGAAGAAAAACAAACCTGTTAGTTTTATTCTGACTTATCCGACTAGTCGGTGCGTCGGGAACGAACAGCACGAATAAATATAGCTATTGCCGATAATATACACGGTTATGTTTTTCTTTCGACCAGTTAAACTGTCGAATCGAGTCAGATCTGATCGGAAAAGAGTCAAATATGCACCCTTAGCCTAAAGTATGACACATTAATTTTTATACGTCATTTTACCAGATAAATGCAATGCAATACAAATTAATATGGATAAATAATTGTTGACGTTTTTAACTAACTTTTTATATTGTAATTTATATTATGACTATTATATTTTAATGACGTGTTGGTTACAAATATATTTTACACGTGTCACATTATGATCAAAAAAACCACAATTTGCAGTAAGTATAAATGCCACAAATTTTTATTTTTATTGTATACTAAGCAAAATTATCACATCTTCATCAATATCTATGGTGTTTTTGCTTAGTATGGTTATTATTAAACGGCGTTTTTATGCAGTAAAAATACATTTTTTGACCATTTACGTTCGGTGAAAACAAATATTACCGAGTAGTTATTTTTTAGGACAATGTTTTAAGCATATAGTATATATATTTTTTATGTATTTAAATCATTTTTTAATTCTTTTGGACTTACGGCAGTTTTGCTTATGAAGGCAATAGAGATACTATATAATATAATAATTTTTACCCAACCTTGTCTAACGATGGGTTCTAGTAGATGGGTATTTAAGAAGATAGGATATATAGGGGAAATTAAATTGTATACCGTACGCAACGATAAACTATTACAAATGAAAAAACAATTCTGAGCTAAGTATTATTAAAAGTGTTTTTCTATTAAACCCAGAAATCAGCAATAAATTTTTCCTTTTTAACAATTATTAAAAAAACGAGAGCGAAAATCACAAAATAATCAACTCTGTGGATGCACTGATCAACAAGATGGTGTTCTTTCAGAAAATATGCTTTTCTAGGTAATCAGTGTGATATTTCTAGTACAAAAATTGTTAACATACAGGAAAACAATCCATTAGGTATCATAAAATCTATATGCGTTGTATTGTAAGGATATTAAAAAAAATTAAAAATGTACATACTTGCAGCTGAATTTTTAAATAGAAATAATATTTTTATTTGTTTATTTTTAAAAAGGAATACCGCGTAAACGCATTTACCACCGTAAATCAACGCCAAAATCCACTTTAACTAAAACATCATCTGTTTAAAAAATTTTAAATTTAGACGATGATTATTGAAAATCAAAATTCGGTAATGGTTGTTCCCAAAATAATGACAAATAAATGTCTCTCGTGATGATTTTATATTGCACAAGAACGGTGTAACAGGTACCTCTATACGAACACTGAGTCCCGACGGAAACGGAATATATAATTGAACTTTTTTTCTCGCTTTCCGGTGGGAACAATATAATAATAAGCGTCACATGTGTGTAGTCGGAATTGTTTTCATAATACAAAAGTGGAGAGGAGGAAAATAAAAAGGGGCGAGTGTTGCAGGTTATAATAACATTATACAATCGTATTTTTTTTTTAAATTACCCGTTCGAATAACGTGCCGAGAGTGATGTCGAGACGATTTATTATTGCGTGTAATAAAAATGACGATTCTAACTAGGTAGGTATTATAAGTACCTAAATTGTGCTTATTATTTTTTGAATATCGGACGTAAATCTGTCGTGTATCTCGCGTGGTGCAACCCAAACTGTTTCCATCCGTTATTTCTTTCCCGAAATGTGTCACGTCGAAAATGGCTTTACGAGGATGTAAATTCCCAAACAAGTTTTATTGAATAAATTTAAATTATTGGAGTTTGAATTTTACGTTTCAAGCATTCTATGCTTATATGGAATATTGTTAAAAGAATTTTAACTAGTTCATCGAATTTTATCGGGTGATTACAAATGGCATGATTACGAACGTTTTTACTTGCTATTTTTAGTGCGGAGTTGCCAGATTTGATGTTTGTCAATTATTTTTATATAATAAATATATTTAATATTATTAAAATTTTCTTTTATTTTCATATAAACAAATTATATAAGGTTAACAACAATGGTTTCTTGCTATTACACCGGGCGATAACATACATATCAATAACATTAGTCCTAAATTGATACTAATTTGATGGAAACCAGCTTGATTCGTGTAGTCGTGCAGTATTATCGTGATTCTCGTGTTGTATAATATTTTTACCGAGAAAAAATTTAAACCATTTTAAACTCAATAATTATGTGTCATTTTATTTTAATATATAACGTAGTTATAATATTTATAATTGAACCTCCAAATAGAATAAAACATATTTAGAAAAATGTACACTATCTAAGCTTAACAAAGAAGTCTCAGAAAACGTACACAATCGTTCGTTTTTCAGATAAAAAAAAAATTATTTGATAAGCGACATACGTTCGCAATTGTGTTATAAAAATAGAAAAACGTTCGCAATCGTGTTGCATCCAATTTTATCAAGTTTCGACTTTAATAATAAGTACGTAATATCTATCACAAAATACAGAATACAATGTAACTTGATATGCCAGTCAGTCAGTTTGTGATAGCCGTAGTTTAGTCGTGTATAATATAATAAAATTGTACAGTGAAAAATGTAAAGTAAAAATCTGAAAAAAAAGGTGCATAGAAAAATATCCGTTTTCTTTCGACAAAAATTGGTTGTCGACCTAAAACGGTGGAAATTTACAACACGTGGTTGTAAATCTTTTTTTAAGAATAACAGTATTGGCGAAATATATGATATACATTTGGAACATAATCATTTACATTTATATGACAATTTTTTAAGTAGGAGGGATATAAGTAATAGTTCATCATCGGGTCATCAGGGTCAAAAGCGCCTATTTCATTGTTCTATTTCGAGCGTTCTCGTACGCTAGAAAAGGTCGAGCGTTTTCAATCGTATTGTTACCCTATGTTTCCCATAACGGACACTATCTTCCCCTGACTTACTGTGTTTTGCCCGAAAAAACATCAGTCTTCTACGGAAAAGCTCTTTCAGCGTTGTGTGATTTCATAAATCCATAAGTTACATTCGTAGATTTTGAAGAGGCTATTCACTCTGCAGTACAAAAACCATGAATATCGGTGAGTATAAAGGGATGCAGATTCCATTTGGGTCAAATTTGAATTTGGAATTGACATATTTATATAATGAGAGCCGTTTGGGAATTGGCCTTTTTGTAAAATGAGAGCCGAATGGACTATAGCCATCTTGCGATGCTACAAAATCGGTTTTTTTTTTTAACTTCATTTACCGGAGAGAAATAATCACGAGATAATAATAAACTTACGTGAAAAACATGTAGATCCGTTGACTATGCACTGTTGAGCAACAATTTGTCAGACAACCAAAAATAAATAATTTGTGTTTTTTTTCCTTTTCAAGAGCTATTGTTGATTTACCGTAAATAATATCATAGATAACGTATTTAGCCATTTAATAATTTTCATCATAAAATCAATTTGCTTTTAATGGGAAAAAAATGTAAAAATGTCTGATTTTATTCGCAGTTGGTGTCCCTGTTTGCTAATCAAATGTTTTAAGATATTTGTCATTACCTAGACAAAAGGCGTAGAACGCACAGTCACAGATGCATGTATACAAAATACGATACGTAACTAACTTTCATTTATATGCTAATTGCATATAATATTAATTTCCTCCATCTTTTCGAGAATTAGAATCATACCACCATATCAATATCAATATCAATGAAGGATAGTATGGCCGTACAGGGTTAAAGCTTAAATACCATAACTGCACTTCGTCGCCCATCTCTCACTTTCTCATCATATTTCCATCACAGTATCTTGAACTATCTCTCTCCAATTTTCAACTCCTAAATGTGATAAATTTTCTTCCACAACTCTGGTTGAGTTTTTCACGAAGAACCAATGTAGATTTTTTAAAGAAAAGTATTAATTATACCTTGACCTAATGATTTTTTTTAATATCTTCATTTTTAAAAAGATATGAGTGTTTTAATTTAATTTAATCTTAACTAGGGATCAGTCAGATCCGGCTCTTGTTTCTTCGGGTTCATGGTTATATTATATCGATTCTGGTAATTATTATTATTAGTATTATTTATTTTTTTTTTTATGTAGTCACATTCGTTTTAATCATTTGTTTCTTTTAGTAAATATCGGTATTTACAAAGGGACCTATTATCAATGAGTCAAATCACACTATTAACTAGTAATCAGTAGACATTTTTTTCTTTATCTTATGAATTATACAACGAATGTTTGAAGTTATTATTTTCACATTGTAAAAAGAAGAACCAGTATCGGCATCGAGAACCAAAAGAAATATTTTCTGAATCGAACTGGTACCGATGTTTTTAGGAACCGTTCCTAATTTTAATCATTAATAAGGAGTAATTAAATTTTCCGCCAATATCGATCTAACTGATCACCACCGGTATAAAAATCTCCATCTCCGTTTACCGCCACAATAAATTTCAGTTTTTGTACTACTGAAAATCACTTAATTGTTTATATAAAAGGGGTCGAAAAACATTTTTTCCGAATTTTGTAAAATTTTGAAATTATCCTTTCTCACAACTCGTCCCTCAACTATTTTTTAATTCATCATCCTAACCCATTCAGTCTGCCTCTTAAAGCTTCTACAGCTTTCTTAAACACATTTTCTTAACTCACTCTTGACCTTCTTAACGGTATATTTCCTGACGGGTTATTTTTCACCGGAAGAGTTTTTTGATGGTTTCTAAAATATTCTTTTTGTCATAGGTACATTGCTTCTAGTTCTCGGGTTTTTCTTTCTTCTCCACTTTCCGATCATGCGATTCTATGCAGGTATAAAGATATTTCCACCGTCACTAACTCAAAAACGAAAATCGCCCCTATAAGTGAGAGGCCGCAGCTTTATTTTCAAAATAACCGATGTCTTATTCTTTAAAAAATGATCATCTATAAATCGCATGAAGGCGGGTGCTTTATTAGTTCTATAATCAATTTTAAACACCTTTTTGTTTTGCTTTACATCGACCACGTTGTTTATTATGTTGTCGTCCTCTAGAAAGACTTGGTGGCATGACGCTACTGTGACTTTCACTTAATGAAGAAATGTCGATTGGTATTTACTCGACGAAGCCTTGATTGAGGAGGCGGGGAAGAACCTCTCTTGTATTTACTTCGACGATTATAATATGCACACCACTTGCGGCTTTTAACACGAGAAATTACTTTTATTCGAATTCGACAACACTAGATTTTATATAACGATGACACTTGACCTTACATTCACACGGCATATACGATTTTCTTACGTGACGATAATTTATTATTGAGTATTATTGACCTATAGATTAGACGCACGTCGGCTTAAACGGAACAATAAATAATATATGCTACGATTCGCGTGTAACTGCAACTAAGTTATAGTTGTGATAATGTAATCAATTACGTTTTGTTTATAATAGCGTGTAGTATAATTAAGTACGTAATTTAACCGTATTATACGTGTAGGTGCTCGTATTTTAGCGCGCATTAATTATTTCTCACGAAGCGCCTAACGATAATAAATGATATAGACGCGTTTCGCAGGACGATACAATTTATTACATCATAATACGGAGTTCGAAATAAAACTTACGTATTAATATTATAATATTATATACAAAACAAATAACATTTGGCGCCACCGTGTTTCGGTATCGTACATAAGCCCTTCTTATAGGGAAGTGAATGGGCGATATGTATTACCAACCTCCTCCTTTGTAAATAGGACGTTTTTCATAAAAGAAATTAATCATGTAACGACAAGTTACAATAATACTGCAGAAGAAACAACATGAAATGGCGTTGCCATTAACAAAACAAATATTTTAATATATTGGGTTTATTGAAAATATGTAATCAATGGTCTCGCTATAAATATAGATAAATGTCAAATAAAACATTAAAAAAATAAAAAACGTAATCACATCATTTATAAATATCGTTTAACAGATATTTATCTATTTCGTTTCTCATTAATTAAAAAATCTTGGAATATGGTTTGATTACAAACTTATATTTTATTCTCATATCCTAGCAATTAAAAAAAAAGCTTTTTCTATAAATAGCATGGTCAAACGAAACGGTTCTGAATTCAACAACCTTAATAATAACTTTTGGGCAACTATACATCTCTATCATTCGTGCACAGCTTGAATATCCTTCGATAATCTGGGAAAATAATACTATTGGCTATAGTAACGAAATTGAAGGTATCCAAAACAAAGTTTTCCGATTTATTTGCTTTAATTTTAAAATACCAAAGACCAACCACTCGGGCTATGTTAAAATTATAAATTTTTTAAATTTATAATCATTGAAAGTAAGGAAACACAATTTGTTCGTCTCAATTATTAATAAATTATTAAACAATAATATTGACGACTCTTTCATTCTTAGCCGTATTCATTTTAATAGAGTCAACCCACATAATATACGCAATGTAAAGATTTATTTTATATTTCATTTCAAAGTAAAAATTGTACTTATTTTTTCATACGTGTATGTGTGTCCCGTTTTACCTAAGTTCTTCCCAATTGTTACGAAATACCCCTCTACGGGAATATTAGTATATGTCACTATGGCAGTAGTTCTCTAAAAACGAGATACTGTTTTACACCACCTGTACGACAGTTTCTCCTTCTCCGAAAAATTATTCTGATCTATTTTTATTTGTACACGTTTTAAAATGTATATGTATACATTTCTCGCTCAGGCTTATAGCATATACGTATTATACCAGTGGTTCTCAGTCTTCATGTACATACGACTAATGATATTTAAGTTTTGTGCGCGGAATTTCTTTAAAACGGTGAAAATATAATAAATGTAACTTTCTACCAGGAAACTTGTTCCAAACAAAAAATTAAAATTAATATTTTTTGTTGAAATTTGGATCTTGTTGGTGTTTAAGGAGGCTGATTTTTTATGTACCGTGTTGTTTTCTTAATAAGTGAACAAAACCGGGAAAAATATAGAAAGAATGGGAAAATATCAAAATTTTCAATTTTGTTTTTTGTTGTAATTCTGTTAAAAATTATAATAGAGACATGACATTTTTACAGATAGATTTTATTCATTTTTACTAAACGTGTTAAAATTGTTTAACAATCCTGAAAATATTTTTGAGTTATTTATAGACATTTCACATTTTATAATTTTTTTACATAGTTTTTTTTTAGTAAGTTTATACTATGTGGATACAATTGTTTGACCAAAAAGTAAATGCTTAAAAATTAAAAACAATAGTTTTATTATAAATTGTAATTTACGGTAAAAAAAAATAAAGTCAGGCATAATGCAGTAGTTTTTTTATTTAATCGTTTTAAGATTAAATTTTAACGAAAATCGTAAAAATTACGGTAATTTTATCATTTTTCATGGGCAATAGTTTTGTTATGTACAAATATTAATTAAATAACTAAATTAAATATTTATGCTATAAATCATATCACAGCTAGAATATTAATAACATTTTCGATTTTAACTGTTTAACAAACGTTTAACCGAAAAGTTCCCCTCACAAGTACGTATATTTCGTTTACAATGATTTATCGTCGCGTTCAAAATTTAAAATAAATCATCCTATATTTCCTACCTTTTCGACTTCCCACGTATAACAGAGCATTCGTCGCGTTAGTTTTATTTTTGATAGTTATATTATTGTACATTGAGGAAATTGCCGAGTTCCCGCGATGTGGGCGATGTGATCTGCTTCCGCGTACGCTAGCAAGTGTCCGTCAAATATCACTACCCTTCCCCACCAAAGATCAGTATAAATGTTTAAAAGAAATTGATTTTATTTTTTTTTTATTTTTTTATAAAAATGCGGATTATTCTCTATAATACACACAACGATGTGTCAGTTAAGGTTAGTAAATTTGTAGACGAATGGAACACGGCAGTTGGAATTTTCACTGTAAATATTGCGTATTATAATATGACATATATATTGTTGACAAAGCAAACACTATCAACTGAATTTCGCTCACAATGGTTTTTTCGTTAGCAATGGTTTATCGTTGCTTACAGATGATGTACATTGAATTCTCGTTTGTATCCGAAACTCGACAAAACTCTAAGTGCCCGCGATACTTGGAAAAACGTCGTATTTCGGCTGTAGCCTAGGAAAACCTAGTGACCAATCCCATTTGGGCAAAACCGTAGCGTCGATAAATTTCAATTTTTCATATTAGGTTGGTAACTTATAATTAAATGTACTAACTTTTATAATTCTCAATACCTTCATAACTTCGGTATTATTATGTATACGTTGTACACGTGTAATCACATTGGACCAGTTATATTTTATTTTATCGTTATGTATATGTAATATAAGAAAAAAAAAATCTGTACCTACTATTAAATCACTACTACGTTTGCCCGGTTATTTCTGAGGTTCTACAGATTTCAACTTTTACTTTTAAGTTAATAGAATATTAAATCTTATTGTAGGTACATCTAAATATAGGTACAGTGATTTATTTAATTATTTACTATGAATGAGAAAAAAAGTAAAGTATAAACATGTCTTTTTTTCGATATGAGTGTTAAATTTTGAAATTTGAAGTTATTTAATTTTTTAATTTTGATTTATTACTTTGGTGGGCCGGTTAATGATTGATCGCGGTCCGAATTTGGTCACCACTGTTTTCTGTTATAATTTGAACTCATTGATTTATTTTTTTTTGTTTGGGATTCTTATTTAATCCAAGAATTGAATAAAACGATTGGATTTCAATTTAATCTGTTATTAAAATAATACTATTTTTCATAAGAAACCGAAACATAAGAGACCGTTTTCATTAATAATAACAATACTGTATTATGACTAAATATTAAAAATGAATATTGTATATTTCTTGGTATCGTGTACATAATATTAATTCAATCCTTTTTTAATGTTTTATATGTATAATTTACTATGGCGATGCACAGAGTAATTTAAAAATATTTTTATAATATACCTTATTACACTCTAGAGTGTAGTGTTTAGACAATAGGTACCGAATGTACAAAAATAACTATAATTTAAAAACAGTTTATTTATAGGTGTATATTTTAATACTGTTGAGAAGGAAAAATTCACATAGTTTATATTATATCGAGTGCACCCATTTAAATGGATCGCCTTGTATACTGTTTACCCCACAATATTTTTGTTCCGCATTTTACTATATCTTCCATAAACAGTTGTTCCGGCAGACTTATACTCCTCAATCCCTAATAGGCATGTATAACCGTTTGGCTACAACAAACATACTAAAAATAATGACAATATTTAGTTATTTAATATAACATATAATATCAGAATTTCAAAAAACTATAATTTCGATTCGCTCAATACTGACTTCACCATTTTTTTTATCGTCGATATACTCCATCACCAATATACATATATTCAAAAAAAAAAAAATTAAAAATTAGATTTATTCCGGGTAATTTTTTTCTCAACGATTTTCGTCAAAATTTGATGTTAAATTTCCTTTTTAAAAAAAAAAATACTACATTAAACTTAAATTTTCATTTTTTGACAACAAAGTAAGACTTTTAATGAATTTCCTAATAAATTTTAAAGCATTTATATTAAGTCTAACAATTTTATCACAGAGTACTTACCGAATAAAAATTTCGTACACAACTCGCAAAATTGAAATGTTTATAAGTACCTCAAAAATGACTTAAATTTTTTGAAAATTTTACCACGTCTAGAAAAAACAAATACGAGTTTTCTGTCTAAATTACAAGTTCAGTTGAGTCGATACGAATATTTTTAACTGAATCTCAACAAAAATATTAAAATTTGTATAAATAGCCTTAAAATGGCTCAAATGTTTTGAATATTTTACCACGCTTAGAAAAAGTAAATATAAATTTCTTGTTCAAATTTTAAATGTTTACGAATATTTTCAATTGAATTACAACAAATAATATAATTGAAAAATAATAAAAGCATTATTTTCCTAAATTTCCAGTTCTTTTACGTTTTATCCTGGTTTTTCCTAGATATTGTGAATATATATATACATATTATATTTTCCGCTTAGAAAATCAAAAAATGATCTCCCAAAAGCACCATCTGGACAATGTTCCCTTTCAGAAATGGTGCCGTGCGTATAAATCTGAGTAAGATTGCTGGTAGAATTTTTGTGCACAGGATAAAAAAATAAAAAACTAAACATCTTAGTAAAACCAATGCATTCTTGGCTACACTCAAAATCTATCGATTAATTAACAAATCCCACTTGTGATATTGATGTGCCGATTTTACGTTTTCTATTATCACAAACCTATTAATTGAATTATTAATACTCGTATTATCGGTTTCGGGGGATTTCACTGTCGGTCGACGAGTGACTCTAATAATAACCGTATGACATAACCGTCTTAACCCCGAGCGTCGGCGGCGACCCCGAGGTGTCGTCGCACACCACTGTACAATCACTCACCATGACGTCGATGCCGAGCGGGTCTATCATGCGGGCCACAGCCATCCACTTGAGGAACGTGTAAATGGCCGTGCCCTGGAACGTGTCGCCGGCGTTGAGAAACAGCGTTCCGTCAGAGCCGTTGGACTTTTGGGCCTCGGCCCGAGCCTCGTCCACGGCCGTCTTGAGCCTCGCGAAACCGCCGTAACACCGCGGTACCGGGCTGCGGTCCATGCATTGCGCGCCGATCCGTTCGACCGGCTCGAACCGCGAGTGCATGTCATTGGTGTGCAACACGAGTAACCGGAACGCGTGGCCGTCATCGTACGGCACATTTGCGGCAGCCACCGAAAAGAATAGTAAAACCAACGTCGTCGTCGTCGTCGGCCGGTTCATCGCTTCGATCGCGGACGGTTGTTCGGTGTCGGTACGTGTACGACGTACGGATCGCGTCGCGTTGTGCGTTCTGCACGTGTGCTGTCGGCCAACGTAATATTAATTTTTCGTTCCCACGTCCCCACTATATTAGTGACCTTTTCACTGACACCGCGGGAGGAACATCCTCCTACCACCGCCGTCACCGCCGTTACATCGGCTACCACACAGACAGTGTCAGCGGAATAATATTAAATCGGATTCCGAATTCAGGTATTCGATACAATTAAGCATTGTTCAGATACCGAAATGGCCGAATTCCATTAGGTCCCCCGTCGTGTCGGCGATGTTAGGTTAGGTAAGGAACTGCACACGCCGCCCGCTCTAGGTTTCTGCAAAATGTTATGTTATACGCAGTGACGTACCTACCGAAAAATATTCAATTGGACAGGGCTGGGCAGCCTAGGCAAGCGGACGAGCGATTGGAATGAGACGGGGACCATTATTGCGTTTAAATACCGACAAAACTGAATTATTACAAATTATCGTTATAATCTCGTTGTATATTAGTATGTATGATTTTTGATTATACTAAGACAATATTATATTATTGTGTATAAGAATACACGTGTAATAACATCAAATTTACATAAAACGTGCTATACATTTGCCCCGAAATTAGAAACATTTCGCTCCGATTAATAAAATGTTATCGACAATTCAATTAATCATTTAGATTTCTTCAACGATGATCGTTACTTATAATTCACGATAAATTCACTATCGTATTGTTTTCGATTAATTAATCACACGCGTTCTTAATAGTTTTTTTTTTTTTTGTCTGTCGAATACGCAATATGTTTAATTTATACTGTACGGAGCCCACCAATGTAGCGTTTATTATTAATAAATAAATTTAATGGATAATATTATTGTTGACTAATATCTTAAAAAAGTTAAAGTAATACAGTGGTGTTTGATAACCTCTTTTATAGCATGTTTAGATTAAATATTAATGGAAAAGGTTACGTTACATTAGGTTAAGCATTGTATGATATAGGTACTTACAAACTATGATTTGACTATTATTATAAATAAGAGTGCCTGAAATGAGATTTTTATCAATACATTAAACATCCAATAGTACTTACATTATAATATAAAATAAATGTAAAGTTACTTTGTATCGCATGCATATGTATATTTTCAATTGTTAGAGTCCAATCATACTTGATAAGGATTGTTATCCCGTAAAAATAAAATTTGTGTGACACCAATCACACGGGCAATTAAACATAGCACTATAAACAACGCAGACCGATACAGTTATTATGTAACAATATAATTGTGAACATTCATTCATCAGAATGCTAAATAATTATTATTGTTTTCTTGTTTTTTTTTTTAAATGTTATGTTCCAAAAATATAAGCCCGCCAGTGGTGATGGCCCATTATCTTTGACCACTAAAGGCCAGGTGTTACACGTGTCATATTATAATGCTGTAAACAAAAAATGCTATCTATCTAAAAAAATTAACCACTCTCGTTCAGCACCGTAGCCAGAGTTAAATGGGCCCCAGTGCAAATTTAATTTGTAGACGCATTATTTTCCATTAATATTTAATCTAACCGTATACTTTAAAAAAGATACGGGCATACTTCGCACGAAGGGCGAGCCACAGTTGTAGATGAGAAGTTTAATGGGGAAATTTAATGTACATCTGTACGCGACGATTAATCTTTGCTAACGAAAGAACGATTCTGAGCGGAGTTCGGTTAAACATGTATTTAATGGCCGTCATATTTACGATTTGAAAATAATACATTTCGTAAATTCTCACATTTTTCCTACGTTTTTCTCGGTTTTAACCAAATATTATAAAAACGTTTTGGAAAAACAAATGACCTCCTCAGTGTACTATCCCAGTCTGATTTCTTTTCAGAAAAGTGCTATACTTGGAAATCGAAGAAAAATTTCTGGTAGAAAAGTTGTTCGCAGATTAAAAAAAAAAATAATAATAATAATATAATATAATAAAATAAATGCCATTAAAAAACCAATTTAAGAACAAAGTATACAAATTGGAAAAAATGTTACTTCTTTTTAAAAACGTTATAGAAACTGTTTATTTTCATTTATATTTTAAGAATGCATAAAGGAACTATACAAATTATCTTCACTATTCAGAAAATATTATTATAGTTATATTAATTTAAATTTTAAACGTTTAAAAGGGGTGCAACAAGGTTGCGAACAAACGTCACTTATCCAAGAATTTTTTTTTTTTAGCCGAAAAACGAATGATTGCGAACGTTTTCTCAGGCTACGTTGCCAAGTTTAAATTTCTGAAAATGTTTTATTCTCTTCGGAGATTTAATTATAAACATTATAATATTATAACTACGTCACAAACTAAAATAAAATGATACAAAATTATAGTGTTTAAAATGATGATTAGTTTAAATTTTTATCTTGGTAAGCATATTATACATGAACGGATTACGAATAATACTGCACGTCTATACGAATCCAGCTGGTTTTTCATCAAATTAATATCAATTTAGGACTAAGATAATAAATAAATATGTTAGTATTTATTCTACACCGTATCTTATCGACCGGCGAAATAGCAGAAAACTATTATTATTAATCTTATATAATTTGATTTTATGCAAATTAAACGAAATTTAGACCAATAGTATTAAATCCATTTATTGTTTAAACACTGTGAAATTCCCGTTAACGATTACCTCTATGTAACGGTCATTCGTTTTTGTCCGTTGACGAGTGTTATGCCTCTATAAGACACTTCTAACGATGGACACCTCTAAACAGCGGTCATTATTTCCGGTCCCTTCGGTGACCGTTATAATATGGAAGTTTTAGTGTTTAATTGACAAACGCCAAATCTGGCAACGCCACACGAAAAAAAGGCAAGTAAAAACGTTCGCAATCGTATATTATCTGTTTATAACACTCTGAAACTCTGCAACGTACTTTTATACGCTAATCATTTAACGAATAGTTTTCAGACGTTTTTGCTTCAAATTTTTTATTTGGTTCCCCCCCCCCCGACATATTTTTAGTATTTTCTCGTATATCTAACCGCGTAACATCGTTGTCATCCGTTTGCCGGAAATTCGTGAAAAAAACGCAATCAATATAGAAACCCTGCAAACATTTTACATAATATTCTCCGGCGGGTCATTAGGGACATTCGCACACGTGTGCCCGTCGTAATATAATAATTAAGTTACATAATATCACCCGAATTCGCCCGGGTTAGGTTATCAAAAAAAAAAAAAATAAATAAATAAATAAAGAACGACTATAAATGACAGAAATCGATAGGTAAAATTAAAATTGATGTACCTATACCCAATCCCAACAGGGGTTCCCTTAGACATTATTAGAGTCACATTTTTTCCCCCAAATAATTTATATTTCGCAGGTTTTGACAATAAATATCAACCTAAATGGGAGAAAATTGGAGAGAATTAGGGAAAACCGGCACCGAGCCCTTTAACATTACTATTTTCTGAACATGTGAAAAATGTATTAATTTTACTATGATGTATGTTTCTTTGATTTTTGTCTGTTAGTAACTTTTTTGTCATAAATCTCGCTCCAATCATCAACTCCAGAGGTGGTTTTTGGTAAAACGAGTTGTCTAGACAGTGCATGAGAGAGATCATCGAAAAAGTCTACCCTTTTCGTTTTAGTCAGTCTAATTAAAACAATTAAAAATAAATTTCTCGTTTGCGGTTCGGATGTTTGAGATACTACCATTTGAACAATTTTTCACATATGCACTAATAATATATTTGTCGTCCATTACGCGGTTATTTGTTTGGTTTTGGTCCAAATTACTGATTTTCGGCTGACGCTAAATGTATTCGCGGTTTTAACTCCGTTTTCTTCTGATCATTCCGATTCCTCTCAGAATTTTCTCCTAATCCCAACCTTTTGGACGATTTTTACGTTACATAAAAATGTGTTAATATTTACTATATCTATTGATTTTTTAGATAATTATTTATGACTTTGTCCTAGGCTGCAGTATATTAATCGACTTGTGATTAAATTGTTTTATCGTTTTTATATTTAAAATTGGTTGTCGTATTGCGATGACACACAAACCTCGACCCAATTAAAAAATCTGATCGGCCGTTAAACGATCTGATAACATTCTAATATCTATATCATAATATCTTGATTTTTCAATAACGATCATGGCCTGTAGATACCCATAGTAGCGTGCACAGGGAGGGGGTGATTAGAAGTTGTATTTCCACCTAAATTAGTTTACACATACAACGACTATGCATAATAATGTATTTAGTAATTCAGTCTTAAAATGTGTCTATATATACCTCGAAAAGACACTCATTACCTTGAAAGTATTAACTCTTACCGAAATATTTTTTTTTTTATTTTACAATTCAAATTAAAACTTCAACTATTTATGGAATTTGCCTTACAGGTTACTATTTGAAAATAAAAATTAGGTAGAGGTTTCATCGTCCAAATTAACGGTGATATAACATATTAGAGCTAACTATTAGTTTCATAAGTTGTCCAAAAAAACAAATTAATAATTTTTGAAATAATAAGTATCTTATCAAAGATTAATCATTCTGTATATGTACTGCATTCGAGTTACAAGTTAAATCTAGAAATATTGAATAAAATATTCTTTTTATGATTCGGCTTTTTTATTCTCGTTCCCGGTTTAAGCGTAGAAAATGGGTCTACGATTTATTCATGTTATTACTATACATAGTGTCCCATCGTATTCAACGGATTATTGTAATATATCTGTTAAGTATTAATTTTTCTTTTTTCAGCGATTAGAGGATGCAAATAAAAATGTAATTTTTTTCTATATAGGTACTCATATATGGCTCACCCTTGAACACACAATTTGATTGGAACAAAAATTGAATATTAAACGGAAAGCGGCAGCTTTTAAGTTATCGTTATCCGAGGCGGTTTTTAGATTTTGAGTAAAGCGAGGAATCTATTATTATTATTATTTTTTTTTATATTATATACACAAATTCTTTACGAAATCTTTCTCCAACGTATCAAGTGTAGCAAACTTTCTG